TTAATTTTATTTATGCAGTATTTTTTTCTTTGATATTAATTCAATTTACACTTTTTGAGCGTGGTGACGAATAAGAAAACAATTTTTTTTCTTTTACTGAATAAATGAGAAGTTAATATCGTTTAAAATATTTTCATTATCTTGCAATACATGTAGGTTATTCAGGAATTTTTATCATTGAAACTATAGGTTTATGGTAACTGAAATGAGAAACATAAGTTTGAGACTTGATATCCTCTAAATATCATATCATCATGTGATAATAGTGTAGTTTTATTTTCGTTACGGAATTTCTTGATTCGGTCGCCGCGCTCAAAGCCCCCGATAAAAGCTATGCAATAGCTTAAAAATAAATAAGAAATATCTCTGTTTCAATAAAATTTCCCATACTCCGTTACCAAAAAATAGTTAAAGTTGAGACAATTCCCAAGATAACTAAATTAAAATTATAAGTAAAATAGCAAAGACAAAGTCAACGACAGGACCATAAATGTATACAAAAATAATATGGGCAGGACAATGAACTAGAAGCTTTTGACATTTTTATTTGGCAATGATGTCGTTGATACATTCGCATAAATAACGAACACTGTCAGATTAACTAATAAAACAGAACTTAACCACAAACTCGAAAATTATTATTATTACCATTAAAAATAAAGAATGTGTATAATAAATTTAAAATAAATATCATTTTAGACTCGATGAAAAATAACAGACCCATCTAGCGAGACAAGGATCTACTTATCGGTTCAATAGTTATTGAATGGTTCGTTGAGTATTTAGAAACGCAGTGATAGTTAATAGTGATACTTTATTGAACCAGCCAACCTGAATTTAACGAAGAAAGTTCTGAAACCGTTCATGGTTTGTCTGAATATGGGTAGGCAATGCAGCAACGGACTTAGCGCATTGCAATTTGATTACAGGCAGTTAGAAATTCTGCCACAGATCGCATCCTTACTGTAAGCCGTTAAGCAGGTCTATTGATCATCATTTTTGACTACAACAATTACTTGACCATAACAACGGAATCAAATATCCGGATAGCCTATAAGATATCTGAAAATAAATGAGGACATTTTGTGCCGACGCCACCTAGTATGAAAAACTCAAATTACCTTTGAAGTACATTCTTTCCAATAAAAAATTATCATCGAATCGTTTGTCATATTGAATTATTTGTCTATTTGTCGCGCACATACTTAATGCATATCTATTTAAGACATAATTATGGTTTTCTCATCAATTCCATCGTTAGAACTGGACCAAATTTGGACCACACGGGAAGTACCAGCTATCAAATAAAAAAAGAATCATTAAAATCGGCTCACTCAGCCGAAAGTTCTGAGGTAATAAACATAAAAAAAATAAAGTTCAATTGAGAACCTCCTCCTTTTTTGTAGTCGGTTAAAAAGCATTGCAACTAATTACTCTTATTCAGTTCCGTTGGCAATAGTCGCATAAAATATTGACCATATCTCTTAATTATAATGAAAAGGTTTTGCCACGAGTCCTGCTTCAACCGGAGATTGGAGTTATCTAGTCACTTCAGAGCGCTTTGCAACTGAGCTTACAAAAATAAAAGTAAAGCATGAATGCTACGGATTCAGGGCTGCTAAATAAGCTTTGGTAAACATTTTTCCTTAGACTCAAGTTAATTTGCAATTTTAGTAATATCATATTTCGACGTTTGCGGTTTTTGTACCATTTTAATTCTTTAATTTTATAAATATTATTATCGATTAAATTACATTATCTTTTTCACATATATACAAACTCACGGTACATGTTTGCAATAAATGGGAATAAAAATGTAATACCTACCCGGAAGAATTACATTACCATTTTAGCAGTTTCGGCATAACTTCAAATGTAGGGAGTTTCTCTAGACGTATGTAAAGACAAAGAACGTATTAGCGCTCAGTATGAACATCTGCATTTGCGATGGCGTATATGTGCATACATATGTACCCGCATGATGTGCTGGGGTGCTCTTGATAAAACGAAGCCTTTTGTTTTACTAGCGATTTAATGTAGCGCTTTTAGAAGACTATCTCCACAAGTCGATTGGTCGACTTCCGAGTTAAGTCGAGTGTGTTACCGTGTATTGAAAAACTAACGCTTTGTCTTTTTAATTATTTAGACTTTTATGAGACTCGCATTTTAAATTTTGTCATAATACAGCTTGGTGCAGTCCTTTTGAAGGATATGCGAATACTTTTGGATCTATGTGATACATTTCTACAGAGCCTCCTGAGAGAGAATCGTGTTGTGTCTATGCAGTAATATAACAGCAGAATACCTTGAAAATAACTTCAACAAGTATTAACAGTATCGTCCTTAACAGCATCATTTGTACGGATATAACAATAGATGCGCCAAGCATTGCTTCAAATGCTAAATAACAATGTAGAAAGAAGGCGTTAAGATTTTCGTCGCTGTGGCTATCACCCGTTTAGCTCAGTGGCTAGAGCGTCAGGCCGCGAATGCCGAAGACGTGGGTTCGATTCCCAAAGCGGCGACAATCTTTTCGTACTTTTTCTACATGTTTTAATGTTCAAATCTTAAGTGCAGAGATTAGCACTATAAAAAACTTTAAAATTTATGGTATCTTGCTTAGAAATAAGTAACTAACTGCATTGACCAGCAACTCTCTAAATCTATCGACGATATAAGAGTTAAACTTGAAATCCACACAATGGATCTTTTTTTTATGTGAAAAGTTGCCAAACGAGCAGACGGTTCACATGATGTTAAGTGAATACCGACGCCCATGGATATCTGCTACACCCGAGAGTTCCAGCTGTTTTAGCAACCTTTTGAAAATTGGTCTTCTGTGAGGTCATGGTTCTTACCCGGACGAGCCTGCCCATTCGTGCAACAGCCGAGGCTACTGCATGGCCCTACCACCTTCTATTTTTATTTCTTCCACAAATCCGTTCCCCTAAACCTCACCAAACATTGTAATTTCCTTCTGCGTTTCTTTTTAAGTGTCAGGTGTTTATAATTGTATGCTTAACGAGACTGCAACGAGGGCAATAATATGAGATTAACATTTTCTGTATACGACGAATTTCGTATTATCACATACCCTTGTTACCTTTAAACATGACGTTTTGCTTTTCTTACTATTTGTAATGAAAATTTTATACTCAATACGCGGAATAATTTCAAAAAAAAAAAGTTTACCTTATACATTGATTATTTAATATTTGTAATTGGTATCGTTATAACTTTACAAAGAACACATTACATATCGACAAATGGGAATGTCAAAGCATTTGAACTACATGCCTATTTTTTCCATTTGTAGTAATTAAATCATTTACGAGGAATATTTATATATTTTGCTGTATAAAAATTAACCGAGGAAACCTGTGACTAAGTGGTTTTAAATAAAATGGTTTCCGCAACATGATGATTACGCCTCCGAGGATTGGAAGTTGTATAATACTGTGTGAAGTATAAAAAAGTTGACGGACGGTGGAAACCCGATATCAACTATAAAGTTTAAATTATAGAAACAGAAAGGTTTGCAACAGAAACTTTAATAACTGCCCTCCGAGCTCGCTGTAGTATCACGCAGAATAGGTTGACACAAAATGTAATACTTATATCATTCGTATTTGTTTAAATCTTATCCTTTAAACGAGCAATTCTTGTATATATATATATATATATATATATATATATATATATATATATATATATATATATATATATAATCGGAATCTCGGAAACGGCTCCAGCGATTTTCATAAAATTTAGTATGTGCGTAGATTCGGGGGCGAAAAATTGATCTAGCTAGGTTTCATTTTTAGAAAATGTTGTTTTATCCCTGTTTTCAGGGAATGAAAAATATCATTCGAATACGACGGTAAATTTCGCCGCAAAAAAATGTTATAATACCTCGGTCGGTAATCGGGCGTCCCCGAAACAGAAGGCCGTGGTTCGTGTCACGATCATTTACACATTTATTTTTTATCATTGTTTCCTTTATTTTTAATTTTTTGTCGATATTTTGTTATTTTTTTCCCTTCTTTTTTAAAGTTCTTTCTTTTGTGAAAAACATCAGTTCATATTATTACGTCGGTAAGATCGAAAAATATTATGCATATGTCATTACTCAATAATTTGTATCTAAATGTAATTTCCAAAACACACGATTTACCAAAACAAAAAAAAAACAAACCGAGCAAAGCTCGGTCCTCCGGGTACTATAATAATAAATCTCTATTAGAAAGTAGATCTTTAAGAATATCATCAATCAGTCGAAATATTTAACAACAGCAAAGTTACTCATCGGTGTTCCATTATTATTGCTATAAGATTTCATCATGATCATGTGAGAAATTTGTAGAGAGGCAGAATAAACGAAATTATTAGAGGGATATTTTATGGATCGCTAGGGAAGGCAAAATAGTCTATCAGTCAGTATGAACTTCTTTTGCAAGAACCTACCTACACAAAACTTCTGCATAAAGCATAAATTCTTGAGGAACCAAAATTTAATTAATTTCTAGCGATCACTCTTCCAAGCCTTCCCACAACAACGGCACAATTTATTTGGTTGCATCGAAAGTGTCCATACAACAGCCAGGAAATTCAAGCTATGAAAACATCGACCATGCAATAATACGCGTAAAATTGGTAACACAATTAATTGATCACTCAATTCATAGATACCCATAAAAGAAATTTATAACAATTAATTCAAAACCTTACCATATTAATAGGTATGCAAAACTGATGACATAGTAGAATTTTCTTTTCGCCGCTACAATAATTTCTTTCCAGATCCCTCATCATTTTTGAATTTTTTTTAAAAATTATTAGACTCCAATTTGACATTTAAATGAATCCAAAAAAAATATAATCAGTAAAAAATATATAGGTACATAAATTTTCTTGTGCTAAAGAATATGACGCGCGTAAAGTGCATGTGCTAACTTTCAAACTCAAAGCTTCTGTAATCTCGGAATGCATGCGGAATATTAATCTGGGCCGCAGGACTCCACTGCCGAAGCCGGCTCGGGTGTTTTAATCACAGACGAGCCTTTGTCTGCAAGGTTAACACTGCCGTTGGCAGGCCACGCGAAATCGAACCTTTCCAGCAACGGAAGAAAGCCCATAGCCCCGTACAATCTTACATCGTATCTTAGGAAAAGAAATGCAGAAGCGAAGTACAAAGGGTCGGTGGTTCTATTTGCAAATTTCAGGACTAACAAGCTCTAGTTATACGCGATGTACGTTGCTCTCGAATAAATATACTGTAGAGATTGAGTCGGAAAACTGGAGGGTAAATACGCTTTGCGAGGTCTGATGCACTGAAATAAAATAAGTAGAAGTGACGTAGCCACGTGTTTCCAGAATACCAGTAACATATTTGAATACGTATTTACACAACGAACGGAAAAATATTACAGAGAGATAGATGTTGTTTATATATTTTTATTTTTGAAGGCACATTTTGTTTATTTAATATGATTAATGTAATTATTATACATTAATATTATTATATTAATTACAGTTAGATTCAATCTCGATGAAACACTAGGCAATGACAATGAGGACGGAATAGCGAAATGGTATGCGGAGAAAAAAAACATTTATCTTTTGCGTTATAGTTATTTTTGTGTCCACTAAAATTCCAAATTGTTATTGCCTGTATCACACAACATTGTCTGCTTGTATTAAATAACTTTGCATTAGCGTTTTAAATCATTTATGATCTTATTTTTACGCTGTATATATTTAATTAAACACATTAATAAATATAATAACTTCAGAGTCTATAAAACAGAAACTTATCATCAACAGAGTTAACGGAGCTTTGAAATTATCAACAACAGAGCTATGAACTATACTCACACAATTTTCTTATCATGTCTTTATCCTGTGTAAAAGTACCAAATCATCCGTTGCTTACAGATGTTATGACAAAATTTTAAAATTTATTCATTAAATTTGTCATAACATCTGATTCATTATAAGTAATAATTTTGAATATGTCCTTATGAAAAGCCACGGTAGAGGCTTTTAAAAATCCCATTGTTGCTATATTATATGAGCTGTAGATTCTCAAATCGATTAACAGAGCAGATGGATAAGGCAGCTGCCAAGTATTGACGCGCTTCGATAAGCCGCTAAGAACAGTTTATGCAATCTCAGCAAAGTGGAAGAGAAATCAACGTTTTCGTGTAAAAGCAAAAGTGGTTCATTCACCTAGAATAGACGCAAATCTTGTGGCAACAAACAACGAAACAAATTGTCATACACATTACGTAATGAAAACTCTGTTCGTCCCATCGTGGTTCTCGTCACTACTTTATCAATGGCGTCATTGATACGGTTATGACATAAAATGTACCCTAACGAAATTTATGTAAAATGGAAGCATTTTCATAGTTATGGTATTCAAATAAAATTTCAACATTCCACCTATAAGAGATTATAATTAAATATATCGGTTTTCCATGGCATTTTCGTTACGTGGTCTACGAAATAAGACGAAAACAAGGAATATTATAATACTAGAAAGTATAAGACTTGACTTGTGTGTATTCCACAAATTGTAGTTTTGCTTGAAAATCCAACTTGAAAAATATAGCACGACGTGTAATGGGAGTTGGCAAGGCACTTATTCAATTGGTTATTCTAGATCAAAATGTAATTATTAATTTTCTTGTACAAATCGATGTACTACGATGACAAGATATACGAGTAGTACCGTCACCTCATTATCATAACATTTTTTATGATAAAATAAAATATACCTTAGAATTTATTTAAAATTTTTTAATTTATTTAAAAATTATAGTATTTACATTTTTTAATTTGAAATTTTATGTATATTTTAGTTAGTTTATTTGTTACTCTTTTAGTTGATTAACGTCTATTTTAATTTTAGTTAGTCTTATTATTGCACCTGCCTAAAGATCTCACCACACCATAGGTTGACGGACAGAGAATGCCTGTAGGCGTTAAGTCCACCTATTGTGTTCCGTATTTAAGGAAATACAATATAGACTAAATAAATAAATAAAAATTTAAAAAATCAGTAATGGATGTCTTACAAGTCCATACAGTTATACAATAGAGTTCATCTTCTGAGTACTCTTATATACGGCCTTGATCCTAAATGGCATCGTCGCTTCCAACTTTTCATATTCCTGTGGAGTTATTTAATATCAGTCGGCGATTACTTTCGTTTGTAAATAGCCTTTTTGAATTCGACGGATACTTGCGTAACTTCACTTGTACTTGCGTAACGTAACATTTCCAACAGTCCTCAAAAGACAACAAAATATATGGACTGTTTGATGGTCTCTTCGTTTAGACATAAGCCAGGTAGGTCTTCGTCGTTTTTGCAAATGAAATCATGTATGTTGAATCTTGATGAAAGATTAAGGTACTTTTATATTTAAAACTTGAAATTGATATATTATTGCTATATTGCGGATGCTAATATATTATTTCGCAGTTTTTGGTATTTCATTGCATTAACATGCCCTTGCAACCATGCAACCCCATTACATTACAGAGACCCATTAAACTTCACTTTTGTCTTAATACAACCTTTAAGAAATCTCGAGAAGTCTTTATCAAGAATCACTTTTTTATATTCATAGCCAACAGTTACTTCAAATTTGAATTCATCACTACGTATTATTAAAAATCATTGAGCAAGTGTACAGTTCAAATGCTCGAGCGAATTTCCAATGCGCCTAGAATCGGTATCCGATAGGAAAATTCTCTTCTGCGAATAATTTTTCCATCTAATTGCTACAGAAGTTGAAGCTATCAAGCAAATTTCCCAATTTGGGGTTAATATAAATAACAAAAAGTGGTCGTGTGCGAGGGCATTGGCGTCGCCAAAGGACGAGTGGGTTAGTAAATAAAACAAAAAATAAACTAATGACGATACTACTGCCTACCCCATTGAATTTCTCATTTCCTTTAATAAAAGGGCGTGCCGTCAGATAATCTACAGCTTAAAGTTTGTGTTTCAGTTCTGTTGATGTAAATACCTTGATGCGCATAGACTGTGCAACGGCACCAGACTTCGTAGCAAAGAGCTGGGGAGTAATATTATAAAAGCCACCATTATGACAGGAATTGCTAAAGGAGATAATGTTTTAAGTCCCCGCATACCTATTATTCCAAATAACTTGCCTTTTCAATTTAAGAGGTTGCATCCATCGCCCAATCCCAGGGCCAAACCTTAAAAGAGGCAGGCATTCGTTTAGGCACTCCATGCTTTTCACACGGTCATTCATATGTTGATTGTTCACGTGTTTTAAGTGCCCGAAACATGTACGTGCCGGCGGTAAATCAGTCATTTAATATTGTTAACAGAACGGTATTTGAATCCTAATCCTAACTTTTTAATTATTTTTTAGCTTTTAACTTTAACAATAAATAAAAAATGAAACAAAGAGTTTCTTTGTCTCTTCGTTTCTTTGTTTGTTTGTATATATATATACTTATATGTGATGAGGGAAATGTTTACTTTGCGTACTTACTTAGCCATAGCCATATAAATTTCGTACGAATATTTCAGGATATTTTAGGACTATACTATATAGTAGGTGTCAGTCACTTACACTAATAGTCAACAAGGGAGAGGATACATAAAACTATCCCTCAATATAAAGGAAAATGTTTTAATACGTTTTAAAATTTATTACATTTGGAAATTTAATACAAACATGTCAACACATTTTTATAGCATAAATACCTTTAGAAGGGAGAATCGAATATTTAATTTAATATTTGAAATTGGCATAGCTTATCTTTTAGGTTATATTCCATCTTCGCTTCGCAAACAAAGGAGCAATTGTTCGATCCGTTTGCGTTAGATTCAAGAAGTCGAAAGTGCGTTTGCGAGCTTTCATATATATTTGTAATACAATTTACGAGGATTATTCCTATTCGTTTAAAGACCTTAGTTTTGCACCTCAATAACTAATGAAAAAAAATGCAGTTTTTAAAATAAGTATCATTTTCCTACATCACAGACATTCTTAAAAAAGATTGAAAGTTCTGAATAATATTGTTTGTAAGTAAGTATCTGTGCTTTATTACTTGAAAAATTTGCAAGATGTGACTATGGCTTATAGAATGGAACAAAAACAATGTCGGTATCATTTTCCCCTGAAACAACATAACACGAGATGGTTCCTACGGGACGTAACATTACACTCTAAATCTCATATTATAGCAAAATCTGCACTCGAATCGAAGACCGCTGTGGCGAATCGTGGCCATAGTAAGATTATCGTTGTGATTATGACCGCTCAATTAAATAGGTACGTTGTTACAGGTAGATATTGGTGGCGCTGAGTATCGACGGCCGGCAGGTGTGTGGGCCGACTGTTCGTTTTTGGCGAATCAGAGGCGAGCAGGTGCGGCGTGCAGGTGTCGCCACGATCTCGACCGACATTGCTATACAGGCTGCTGACGGGTAGAACAGACCCGCTGGCCTCATCGCTCATTATCAATTCGGCAAAATCTCCAAGCTATCCATCATACGGCTCGTAGAGCCCCTACATTGCTATGACATTATTGAAGCATTTTAATGTGGCACCACATTAAATACGAACGCAAATGAAACATGTTTTATTTGCGTTCACGGTGTGGCACACGCTTTTGCGTCTTTTAATCGTTAAGATTATCGCATGTTGCAGGCGTGTTGTTAACTAGTGAGTGTTGGCGGTTACGATACTTACCCCATGAAACGCATAACTATAAATACTTTCAATTAACGCCACTCTTCTTTTGTCACTGCTGTTGTTATTCACACGATACGTTTAATATACAATTGATTTAACTTGTGCAATAGTGCTCCCGTGCTAGTGTCTATTACCATATTATTCGTTTACAAACCTCGCGCAAAGTTGTCGTGATTTAGTTAATGTTATACGAACACCCTGTTAGGGGTGACCCGTGGGCTACATTGTTCGCGTGCGCGAGATGGGACAGATGTGGCGACATGTGCGGCGCTAAACGCCAGACGGGGGCCTCATGGTCCTTTCTTCGTGGTACAATTCCGAGGGGCGAAGATGTTTCGACACGGTGAAATCGACGTAAACAATGTCGAACAGTATCTTTTGCCGATACGTAGCAAAACTGGTGGCCTTTAGGATTGCGCACGTAACTTCACCCTCCTAGGTGTAATATACACATTGATCCATATATACAGTAAACACGACTTATACGCTCCTTTGTCAGTCTGTTTGTTACTACAATCAGTATGGTAACGGAGAAACAGATACAAATTCTTGGGCTTATTTATTACTTATTCCTCACGGGGTGGTTTGTTGGATGGCAACACGCAAGATTTTTGTTCGTAGAAATTTGGACAGCCAACAAAGCTACAGACAGCTAAATCACAAAATATGGCTGAACAACGTACCATCCAATCTAGTATAGTAAGCTTAACCGAAATCTGACGTAAGTCACTACATAACTCAAAATAGGTTTATAATTGAGACATTACTTACGTAATTTGAAAATAATTAATATGTACACCTAAAAGCCGTTTTATTTGCTCCCGTATTTTGATGCCGCACACATTACTTTTATAGGTTAATTAAACCACTATCCGTGTCATAATAGTTCGCTAGAGGCTAAAATTTAAAACCAACATACAGAGGCAAAATCATAAACAACAGTGCTGGAGCTTAAAACATAACGATAATGAAATATTAAAACGAATTATTTGAGTAGTGCTTGAGGACAATTACATTAATAATAGACTAATAAAATAAATGAAATAAGATATACAGTTAATTTGTTTATGTCACTTTATTCAGAAATTGTAATGTCTTACCTAATTAATTGATTCCACGAAAGACAGAAAAATCGCAGTGTTTATTTTATTATATCATAGTTATAAAATTTACTTTATTACAGGTGGATGTTTGATACGGTGACACGAAATTAGTGTTTAATTATTTGGACCGTGGCCTAGTTTTTTCGAGAACAAAACATAACATGCAAACAATTTTAAGCAACAACGGCAGCTAGTCGCGGATTATGTAACGGCGTTAAATATGTTTATCCTAAGATTTCGGTTAATATCCCCCCAAATATCTAGTTTTTAAGCTTTATTATACAGTAAGACTCCTAAGATATTAGATGACTCCGCGGCGCAGTTGCTGAGGTATTGCCTTCGGCGTCGGGGGTCGTGGGTTCGATTCCCACACGGGACAACTATTTGTGTGACCCAAGAATAGTTGTATCGCATCTGGGTGTTTTTCCGCGTGAAATTTATGTTTGCAAAACGTCCTTACAACACAGCCCAACAACATTGCCCTTACTTTAGGATAACAACTTTAGGATAACATTATGTTATCCTAAAGTAAGGGCAATGTTTTAAAAAAAAAATAAGAAAAAAAAAGAACCAATGTTTTTAAATATTGGCAAGCGATATACAATAATGAAATGATGTGTTTGAAAGTAAATCTGTGGACAATTAAACATATAGTGTGTAAAAAGACCTTGACTTGTGTGTTGGTATTTTAATAAGGCTCCGCTCGTGAGTCGCGTGGAAGCCAAAAAACCGTGAGTCAGGTAGAGACGAGCGGTTGTTTTCATTTTTTAATAAAGCGATTCCTGGCAGCTGTCTTTAATAACAATGTGTATGGCCCTAAAAGTTGGCCGGCGCGCGCGACGCTAATCTTATTGCTTTTGAATTTTCAAGGCAGCTGCGAAGTTATCGGTGTTCGAAATGCTCCTTGGACCCGGAACCGCTGCCCGAAATGCACGTTGCACGAGGCAACCGGTTATGTTAATGTTCGATAATAAGTGACAAAAGTCTAATGGAACCACCGGGCTACATTGGTTGTGTTTTCGAAAATACATTTATTTAAAGGGTGTTGTTTCAAGGTAAAATGAGACTTTGTATCAAATAAAATACCTAAAAGTAATAGTGTCAGAAGTTTTTGATGGTGTCAGATGAAGCCTGTGATGATTGTTTCAAAAACCTAGATTGATGAATGATTTGTTTCAAAAAGCAGCAATATCTGGCTAGTACGAACTAAAGCCAAGATGTTCTTACAAACAACTGGATGTAATAACTGAATTTTTTAATGATTTTATACGAGATACTAATAGCAATTACAGCCCCGATGACCGTACACAACATTGTGGAAACTATCCACCGGACTCTACAATTTTCTATATCCAAAATTCGCAAATAAATTCTTTATAATTATATGCATTTTATTGCAAACGTTTTTATATTAAATGTGTAAATGATCGTAACGCGTACCACGGCCGTCTGTTTCGGGGCCGCCCAATTACCGACCGAGCTATTATGACATTTTCTCCTGCGGCGAAATTTATCGTCATATTCGAATTATATTTTTCATTCCCTGAAAACAGGGATAAAAGTACATTTTTTAAAAATGAAACCCAGCTAGATCAATTTTTCGCCCCCAAATCTACGCACATACTAAATTTCATGAAAATCGCTGGAGCCGTTTCCGAGATTCCGATTATATATATACAAGAATTGCTCGTTTAAAGGATAGGAGATGTTGGGGATATTTATTTATTTTCTCGTCTAGTTGGGTTTATAGATAAAAAATAAACATATAGATATATGTTTATTTTTATCCATAATATTTATTTTATATATATATTGGATATACAGCGTGTCTTTACTATCGCGACCATAAATGAACAAACATATAGGGGATAACTTTTTAAAATTGTATTAAACATTAACATTCTTAATACATCAATATTTACAAAGTTATTAAATTTTCCAAAAGAAAGAATTTGAGAACACCGTTACTTATAAAATTGTAACGTAAAGTTCATTTGTAAAGGTCACAAAGCATATGAATGGGTTGAATGAATTTAAAAGAGAAAAAACATACTGTTAGAAGGAGAGGCTTGTAATACGACGCTGTGGCGCGAGTTGTATAGGATGTTACAAATTTTGTTTCTTTTTTACTTAATTAGTTTGTTATAAATATTTTTTTTAATTATAGATTTTGTTTAACGTCAATATTTTTTTATGATTATTGATAAGAAGCGTTAGACGTGTGTTCAATTATTGTCGCGATGGTAACGACACGCTGTATAAAATAAATATTATGGATAAAAATAAACATATAGATATAAATATTGTATATAATACATATATAAATAGGACCCAACCAGACGGAATCCCTTGGCAGTCGAGATCAAACGGCCGAGGGTTAAGGTGAAAGGGAGAGAAACCGGCGGACGATGCGGGCGGTATCGAGGAGCACCGCTTTCTGCATTAGAGCTTGGAGCGTTCCGTCCCGGAGTCCCAGTCGCCTCAGATGTTATTATTATTATTATTATATAGATTTATTCTCGACTCTGTGTCGGTTTTTTCTTTGGACCAGGATACGGGCATACGCCAAGTATCCTGTTACCATTGTGTTTTATGTTTGTGAGTGTTGCTGTGTATTTGTGTGATTGTGATCTTGACTACTGTGTACTGTGTGCGGTTGGGAAGTTGGGTTTAAGAATCGGCGTACTATAGAACATGTGTCTAAAACAATTGATTTTTGGAGGGGTATATATGTGTTGTCATGAAGGTCTAAGATTTTAAGCGCTGTTTTAAGTGATTTTGGAATGACACCGGTTGCTGAAATAATGACTAGAATGATTTTGACTACTTCTTGGTGCCACATCTATTTAATTTCTTCTGCTAAAGGTATGTATTTTTGTATTTTTTCTGTATGTTTCTGTTTAAGATTCTGTGTGTTGGGAACGGCGATGTCTATAAGGTAAGTGGTTTTAGTAGATTTTTGGATAAGTGTAATGTCGGGTCTATTGCTGAGGATGGTACGGTCAGTTATTATGTCTCGCTCCCCGTAGAGTTTCGTTGTGCTATTTTTAAGTACGTTCTTTGGTTTATATTGGTAGTAGGGGGTGTAAGTTGTCAGAAGTTTGTGTTTTAGTGCAAGCTGTTGGTGTATGTGCTTGGCGACGTTGTTGTGGCGGTGAGTATATTCTTTTTGGGCAAGGAAACCGCAACCTCCTGTGATATGATCTATTGTTTCAGTGGTTTGGTGGCATAATCTACATTTGTCAGTTTCTATTGTTTCTTTGAGGATATATTTAGTATAGTTTCGGGTTTTGATAATTTGGTCCTGTATAGCTATAAGAAAACCTTCTGTTTCAGCGAAAATTTTGCCTTTTGAGAGCCATGTACAGGATGCTTTTTGATCTATGTAATCTTGTGCTAATTGGTGTGGGTACTTGCCATGTAGTGCTTTACTCTTCCACTTCTCAATTTTTTGTTCCTCTGTATGAATTTTTTGTTTCGGATCATATTGTCTGTTACTAAGGTGAAGAGGTGTACCAGGTTTGGGCATGTCAGTAATTGCTTTGTGTAGTGGGCTATCGCTAGACTTTGTGAGGAAATATGGTCGTAAATTGTCTATTTGTGCATAGTGTAAGTTCTTTATGTCTATGAATCCGCGGCCTCCGAGTTCTCTGTTTAGAG